ATAAACAGTGTATCTAGAAAAAGTTCTCTCTAAGTACTGCACTTCCGTCGCTGTCACCATTGTTTCGCGGGCACGCTTTCACGTGTCTTCCAAACCCAATTGTCCTGGAGACCCGCTGAAGTGGCTACTGCATCGCCGTGATCAGCGAAGCAGCTCTTTTCTCCTGCGCCTTTCGGCGCTGGTACGCTCCGCTGCTCGCCTGCATCTCTGAGCAGACAGCAACGCCGTTACAAAAAATGTATTTCCTTTGCTTAAAGATCTTCCAAACCCCGTACTATTTCGAAAAAGACACTCCTTCGTTTGTTTCACTACGTTTTCGCTAAGTAGACAGGGCGAATAGCTTGCTGCTAGGGGTACCGACACCAACTGTATACAGGCGACACAGCATGACGTTCCTAGTTAAGGCTCTGTTCAACTGTGTCGTCTGGAAACGGCCTTGGTTAGCGAACAAATAAGGTTGGTAGCAAGTGCTAATGGATCTGTCTGGGAGGTGTTCAATTAGCGCAGTATAGATCACACTGACGTATATGAGAGTTAATGGAACCAAATTGAATACATGGCAAGCAAGAGCCTTAAAGGTTCTCATATATTGTTCGAACGTGTTCCTGAACAGAAACATACACTAGTTAATAATTTTTTTCTTGACGCAGCTTGCAAATTGTGTGATCATTTGGATCTTCGATTGGAACCAATGCAGAAACGTTCATACCTAGACCCAAGATTATCTAAGCACATTTGCCGTATACTTTATCTTTTTTTTGCATACTATATCTATGTCCTACACAATAAAAGGTTATTTTGGCCCTAGAAGGTTAAAGGAGCGCCTGTTACTTTTCCCCGACAAGGCAAACGCAGCAAGACGCAAATCCTTAACAGATGAAGTGGCTTCAACAAGCAGTTGAAGTGGCATGTATCCCTCAACATATGCACTCCATCAGAGATTCACCTGGAAGTCGTACGTGTAATTGTTTTAAACGTGACTAGAACTAGCTATACGTAGCAAGCATTTCGATGATACAAAATAAAAACAAGCTTAAGGTTACAGATTGGCAAAGAAATACTCGGTGGTGCAAGCTACATGCTGTGCGGTAAAAAAAAAAAAAGCTGTCGCATATTTCTGAAGCCCCCGTGGAAGTTTTAGCTAAACGCAAATGCGAATGCTTGCTCTAATATACAGTGCACCTGAGGACGACCCGCGATGTCTGTGGCAGCAGCTGGCTAGAAGCGTTCATCCAACCAATCCCAATTGAAAATTTTCTATCAGGCCTTTTCTATGCCACGCTGATGGAAACAGCGACAGTGTAAAATAGTCCTACATTCGCAAGGCAACGAAGTAGAGCTTTACTTACCCACCTTTTAACTTACCGCAAAGCCCAGAGCCGTATTGCGACTACCGAAACTAAGGTGACTGGAGATTATTTTTTTTTTTAAATAAACTTCAGCTTGCTCGATCGAGCCTGGCTGATATGCTACAACCAGCCAAAAGAAGGTACGGGTTTCGTTCAGTAGGTACGGAATACCCTAAGGCAGACGGAGCCGCACTGCCTTATAATCAACTATGTTGGTGAATAGGCTCGAATATCGACCACTCTAAATACAGTGGAAAAGTGGAGCTACACCTATAGTGGTTATCATCTTATGGAAATATAGAACGGTGGGTACGGAACTTTACCTTACTCCGAATGAAGCACAACACGGAACGTAAACTAAATCGTATAGCGAATTGAATAGTATAGTGTTAAGCAAAATGTACTATCCAGTTGTACCCTTATCACATCGATACTCATTCATGATGCCGAGCCATAACTAGACGATACAGCGGATTAAAAACGAACGAACAAATAACAAGTCAGATCACAAAAAAGCCCCCTACGCTAACATACGTTATTAGAGATCACATGTAGTATGCAACTTATTTTACAGATATCTGATTTTAAAAATACATGAATATCGTCTTTCACAAGAAGCCAATGCTATACGTTTGCTAGTCGGTGTTGTTCCTTCACATACCTTTTTGTCCTTACGATTTTAGAATTTTCCTTCCTGAGCCTTGAGACCATCTAGACCCTGCATCAGAAGGCGTAGCAGTTTTCTTTGTTGCCAGGTTATAATAGACAAGCAGGTCATCAATGTGATCGTTTATAGTTTCCAGTCTGCTGATTGTAGTTTAGTTGACCAATTTAAGGTAACGGACAGTGTTACTGAATTGACACACGTCTTGTAAAAAACAGACGACTAGATCGGCCCACACACGTCTTGTAAAAAACAGACGACTAGATCGGCCCTTCGTCTGCAACAGTGTCCCGGTTAAGATACACACACTACTTAAGGCAATTCGTTCAATCAAAATTGACAAGTAGCTCTGAAAATGCATACCTTAAATAATGTGAACGCGGGTTCCCACTATGACGTAAGCATGTCGCTTAGATATTTATAACCATACCCTATTCTCATACATTTACCTTCCGAAAACTAAGACTGTTTTCTTGCATAGCGTATACGTTAAGCGATATATATACGCACAAACTGTTACAAGCGAATTCAACGGACGTTAAAATTTCACAGCTTTTGGGCTACACGCTGTTGGAAAATGAAATTTCGGCTGATATGATGATGGCACCAGTCTTTTAGAAACCATTGAGTTCTGAACTTAGAAAAAAGTACGTGCGGGAGGAAAACTACTTTTTAGTCTTGAAAATCAACGTCCAATGCTCAGTCCTCTTAACGGTCACAGCGTTATGGAAATGCATCGAAGTTTGGTGAAGAAATTAGGTAAAGAGGCTTCAAACAGTGGGCGAAGAACAGAGATAGAAGTATTAAAGACTAACAAGGGAGTGAACGGGTATCGGGACTCAAGGCTTCAGTACACATTGTAAGTAAGCATCTGAGGAAGCTTTTTACGGATGCAGAGCTGTGACTCTAAGAACTCTGGAAAGCCAGGCTAAAGAACAGCGTCGCCCTGGAGAGAAATAAAGTTCAGAGGCAGTACCTGGTAGGCTCGATCGAAAATAAGACGATGGATTGGCATTGGACATCAGGAGCATCTGCCACATTGAGATATTTGCTGAAAATAAAACAGTAAATGCAGCCCGCCATCTTGGGTTGCTCAAGAGACTTATGGACCATTAGCACGGCAACAGAAACAACCGAGTATGGCTACTTGATGGCAACGCCAAACCTCATTGCCATACCTCGATCACCTCTAAAATCAGGTAGAGGAATATGCAACATTCGCTTCAACTCATTCTCCGTGATCTAAGTCCGTGTAGTTACGAGGTTTATCATGCCCTGTAAAAAGAAATGGGTGCGTAAACGTATCCCATTGGCAATTTATTTCGAGAAGCCATAGATAGAGAAATTACATGTGGGAACGCACGTGGTAGGTATATAACTGTCCAGAAGCTCTTTGAGCGCTGGAAAAAGTGTAGAAATTAAAGGGGATACCTCAATACAAAGTTCATCAATCTAGCCCAATTAGTCCAAAAGTTATTCAATCTCATAGTCCGCGGGATTTACTTGGACAGCCTAATAATGTACTGCGAAGATGAAAATCGAATCCAATTTCGCACAACATTACTTCATTTTACCTTCATTTGCTGTTTCGTCGTTTCCAAAATATAAGATGATTTTATTGAGCCCCAATCACGGCTGTCGCCTCTCAACTCTCAACGGGCCTAGAGCTCTTTTTTTTGATGTCCTCTATTCACGTCACAATAGTACAAAGTTATCTTCAGTGTCTACGCGAGCTTATCTGTTAAGACAGCGTATCTGAGCTTCCTTGGTTGCATCCATATATTCGTTAAAGGGATCTCCTATGCTAAACGAGGTGACACGATAGTCCTCTTAAGCGATAAAGAGCTGGGTAACCGTAGTGGCAGCTTGACATACCGTGGAAGTGAGACAACATTATTGGACCACATCGGACCACGTAAAGCGCAGGAAGTAAAACTTCTTTTTCCTCCTCCTGCGCCTCCTCGTTGGCTTGCCACTGCAACGCAGATAGTTCGCCATTAGAGGCAAACAATATGGAGCATCGCCTTTACTTCAACTCCCATGATGTACGCTTCAAATAGGCCTATACCGTTGCTTCACAAACGGATAAGCATTTTTCAGAGAGAGAAAATACTCTACTTTCGCTCCAAACACATCGTGCTTTATAATCCGGCTGCGATATAGCCAACGATGGTTGGGTAGAAGGGCGCTTAAAATCGAGATGCCCATTTGCATTCGTTACTGTGCGTCGGACAGCGACGCTTAGAAAAAAAATGTCATACCACCTTTCAGCCAGGTCCATCTCTTTATGTAATAAAGCGTTTCGTTCGCCTATTTGCGCGCCGGCAAGGACCTGTTCTTTGCCATGCCCTGCTAGCCAACCTCATCAAAAGAGAACTGAACAGAGAGTGGACTTAAGCTGTGCTATGAAGGATTAATTCTTTCTCTCAATAAAGAAAATTCTCTGCTGTACGTCAACTAATAATTGATACATACATAAATGACGAATGACATCAGTTTACTTCACGGAAATTAAATATGAATGTAAAAATATGGCATTAAAACCAATTGGTAGTCAGCCGAGCGAACCTCTGTGGAACCCCGAGTTGCAATGATATACCTTACGAATATAATGATAAATCGTCATGAGAGTCAAGAACGTTCACCTGAAGCCTGGAAATCTGTAGCCAATAGGGTTCCAGGGGAGCTATTACCTAGTTGATAACATGGGGCTTACGAAATACTAAATGATGAAACACAAATACACACTGAAACAAATAAAATTGATTTCATTCGCTATGTGAGAGCAGGAGCCTTGACAATGCTGTGTCTTACCAACCTATGGTAGGGTTGTGTTGCTTTATAAAAGCAACTACTGCACTTACATAGGACCAGAAAACAGCTTTCAATGTTAATACGTCAATGTTATAGTGATTATAATATATACATGTCTGCAAACTTCTAACATCCTCGAAATGTTCGTCACTTTCCTTTTCTGTCTATTTTAGTCTGCCGTAGCCTGGCGACCGACATCCACAGGGCGTGCTTGAAAAATCTTGGAAGAAAAGCTACTCCTCGAATCACTATAAATATCATCATATTTCATTGAGCCTGAGAGACAACGGTACTCGCTCATCACAGTTGCTTAGCCTCCGAAGTCCTCCCTCACGCTGAAGACTGCTGTTTTTTGCCCTCTCGAAAAGGATCGCTGAGATTTCCTCGTTACTCGACGCCATCTGGTTGAGTCAAGCCAGGAAATAACAGAAGAAAAACAGACACTAACAGACAAAAAATAAGTAGAGAAGACACCAGGCGCCTTGACCGTAGTAAGCGCTATACGATCTACGTATGTGCCGATGGCTTCACCGCGGCGTCGCGTTCCGTTGGCAACAATGACACAGATCACCAACAAGCGACCTGTAGATAGATGCAGTGGCACTACACGTCAGCAGGCGCACAACAGTAATCGAACCTGCAAAAAAAGGGCTTCTCTAGACACCGCTCCCACTAGCATCAAAAGCTGGCAGGAAGAAGCTCTGCGCGAGTCCTTATTGGAGCCATTTGAAATGGCACCTGCCCTGGCGCAAAGGCTCAATCCAGCCCCAGTTGTTGAAACGGCGTGCGGAATGGACTCTGCAGCATCGCGACCGCGCTTTGGCGAGTCGCATGGCACACGACCTCGGCAAAGGCTGACAAAACGATTGTTACGATCACCAGGAATTCATGCATCAGCTTTAGGCTTATTACCTGCAGCCCCGACAATCACCAGCAGGCCATGTAACAGCGGAATCCCAAGTAGTAACCCTCTAACCGTTGGACCACCACTGCTCGACTTCGGATGGACTTCCGATGCGTTCAATGATTTTCTGACGCTGCTGACAGATCGGAATATGTCGAGGTCCAACTACGCGCCGAGGTCAGCTGAGCAACTACCACCTCAACAACAACAACAGCCTAATTCATTAGAAGATGTTTCGAAAGCCCAACATGAAGCTCATCGTCACAAGTCATTTCGAAGTATACGCCTTCACCGACAGAGGGCACTATTGCTAACAGCAACAACAACAACAACAACAACAATATGGTCGCTACTGCTACCCTGTTTACTGCTAACCTGTCTACCTTCGCCAGGAAACGCCTTCGGTGAGTTCAATTCGAATACATCAGCGAAGTAGATACCTTATTATATAAGCATAAGCAAACAAACTAAAGCTTAGCCCAAAATATCTAGCAAATATTCAGAAAGATTAGATGCAGATATATATACACACTTTACTTAGTAAAAATTGTGTGATTGATCCCTTCCCCTGTGTTTGTAATATCATGTTTGCCACATGCTGGTTGGTAATGCACTACCGCAGAGAGTTCTGAGCTATGGGCTTCTGTTAATTTAGAAAGCAACTCTCGAAACAATCGTTTGTCAAGATCTAACCATAAAAAAATGTGTGCACAAATAGAAAACTTCCATTTTTGACTACTTCCATTGTTTGTCGTATTTCAAACAAGTACTCTAGATTTTTAAAGACTTCTAGAGACATGTCGGCCGATCGGCACACCTTCGCTTGTCCAAGGGCCTTTGATGAGTCGATACATTTCCAAAATCTCATATATAATCACCACCATATGGTAATGACAGTGGCTGTCGAATGGGGTCAAACCAAAAGTGAGATTTCTTTCGATGTAATTTGCAGTGGGCATCTTTGGGAACTGCTGTGCCAGCAGATTAAAGCTGACTTATTAGATCCAACATAGATACACGAAAACAAGCAAAGCCAGATTTAAAGTCTGATCTAAAGCAACGATAATTGACACCAAACTAAGACAAATGTGTTGACGTTCATGGTACTGCTGGGGGGGTGATGACGCATGCCATCGGTATTGCCACAACTCATATATGCCAAACGACTAAGGACAGTTGTTTGGGCAAAAGTTGCTGGACCAGCAGAGGCTGAGAAAAGGACCGATAAACGGCACTAGAATGACGGTTCTAGAGAAAGCTGACTGCCCGCCCATATCGGCCAGTAGCCGACTCTGATAATAGCATAGTTCATACATACGTGGGCGTATATCTGTTGGATATTGCTTTTTCCGCCTCCATTCGTCTTGGTTCCGCGTTCAGTAGGTTTTTCGGTTCCGTCTTATCCTTCGACCTAAGCTCTTTGGGCGGCGCGGATTGGAAGCGGTTTGCTACCTTCTGCTCCCCCTCGTCCTTTTTCCTTCCTCGCTTCCCCTTTACTCTCGTTTCCAGCCTGCGTTTGCTCGCTGGCCAAATAGATATTGTGCTCTTCGATAGCATCACTTGTTGTAACCTCTCTTTCACTGCATGAGCTGACGTGCTGCATTAGCCAACCATCCAACGGTAAGTAGCAGAAAGAGAAGAATTGGCCTTGAATCCACGAGGATAAGCAGAAAAGAAGACACTGACTGAGAGACAAAAGTTTACAACAAAGCAGCAAAAGTGCAGGGGCTTTCAAAACATCGATACGCTTCACTTTCGAGTTTGATTATGGTGTTACTCTTGCCGTACCTCGATACATAAAACGAGCAGAGTCCAGTGATATTGCCATCTTGCTCGCAGTCGCAGTTCAATTTAATATCCCAACAGACCTTGATGTTTGGTTAAATCTTCTTTTTCCATAAGCTAAAACATCTCATCTAAGCAATAAGATATTTGAGAGCATCACTTTAGCACTGGGGGAGTTACTGAAATAGTCGGGCGGCGTATTCAAATAACATCATGCCTGCCTGAGTACAGAGTACCGTTATTATCATTATTGTTGCTACTGCCAACAGAATGATAAGTTGTAAAAATACATAAATACCAGAGGTCGCTCCTTCAAGTCGCGTCGAAGCCTGCGTAAGCAAAAAAATTAAAAATGTAATTACATATTTACATCTTCTACGGATACAAGTGATGACATTTATCTCGACAATGATGGACAATTTATTTCTATCGATTGTTCTCCATTTCAAGCACGTCTGAATGATTTTCAAGAGAGCTCGACAAAAATTCTGTAAAAATGTAGACTGCTTTTTCTTTTCCCATATTATCATCTGCATGTATATACAGTGGCCCGATATTCAAGTCAGCTCCGAAAGAAACTTGTGGCGCCCTCAACGGAAGCCGATGGGGGATTTGGCACAGTGGCACCTTCGAAGAGTGCGTGGCCAACGAGAAAGCTGATCAGACCGATGGCGACGCTTACGTCCAGTAGCGCCCCCTAGCTGACGTTAAGGAAAACAGCGGAACACACAGGTTAGGTCTGAGTCATCTGCGCGGGCATTCAGCCAAACACAGCATTTCACTTGTGGAGTGCAAACGTACGAAGCCGGTGTGCTTGTCTCCTTCGGTCTCCATTTTAGCGGCAATATTAGAGGTAGTAACGGTTACAATTATTTTTCGCTTGCCCTTACTTCAGCTACTTAGATTTGCTTGTTCGTTCTCTGCCTAGCGGTGCCCAGGTTCACATTAACCTACGACGTGCAGGATCTTCCGCGTGCATAACCATCACCTTCCAGTGCACGCTTAAAAGCATTCGCTTTTGCAAAAACTACGTGACAGATTAGTGTTCCTTTTGCGCCGGATGACTTTACCTCTGTGTCAAGGAATTACTAAACGATCAGCAAGGTGCCCTACTAGCTTGATCTAACAGGTCCACTTCCTAGCAAGAAAACGAGCTGCCCGCTTAAGCAGTAATAATCGTTAGTGCTTATGTAAGGAAAATCACTAGAAGTATAGATTGCTCGCACAGGGCAGGAGGGTTACTCCGTTTTAAACTGGTAACACTCTTCAGCAGAGAATTGCGTGACTGGATCTGCTGCTCTGTTCGGTAACAGGCATCAAGCGAATAGGCACACAGTTATTAACACAGTGCAACGATTACTAGAGAGACAATTGCGAATAGTTATTAAGTTAAGCGGCATATTTGAGCTATTCGCATAGCACTTATAGTGACCTCTTTTTAAAATACCCGTTTATCAATCGAGTCCGACTGATAAATTGTAGGACAGAGATCGTAGTGTGCAGTGTGTAGGAACGTTGAAGCTCGTATATCGGCTGGCGAGTTTCCTATTACCATAACACCGATTGCTGCACGCATTAGCTAGCTCCATTGCGACAATTCGTTCATAGCACAATTTGAAAGGTCAATTTGACACGTCGTCAGCAAGGCCCGTGTGAACCCGCTTGACGCGGGGGACGTCGATGCCGATGATGCTCGGCGTAGCGGTAGGATTCGTTCTGCTGCTGTTGATCGTATTCCTTATCGTTATCGTAACTTTCACGAACGGCGACGCCGGCCAAAACTACCGGGATATTAAAGGCGGACTACTTGGTGCCAACATCACAAATGGAACTCGGCCACCGGACTAAATGACTACGTCGGACTCTGTCACCTTCTGTGTGCTTGCTATGCAGGTTTGGTGGTGGTGGTGGTGGTGGTGGTGGTGATGTTAGAACTTTCTACTTAGGAACAGTAGCGGTGATGCTAACAAAAAGAAAAAAGAAACATTGAAAAAAATTACATATTTTAAAAATATGACTCGCTTTCGAAGTCTCACTTGTTCATCACTAATTACTATCAATTGATGGCACTTCTTATTTTCGCAATGATACGTAATGACGAAAACGTTAGCAAAAACTATGTTGACGGTAATAATCGTAGAAGTGCTTCAAGGTCGAATATCTACTGTCCAGTAAACGGCGATAAAGACGGTAATCATAACAATGAGATCTATGACGCAATTGGACGAAGCACCTGGTCGCTATCAAGTTAGAGATCGAATTCGCGGGCGCGAAACGGAATGGGTCGCAATAGCAAAGAGGTCGTGTTTTCTCGGAAACTTATCGAAGGTGGGCCTCCGTGCGGCCTGGTGAAGATCTGAACACATATTTATGCGATGTTGTTGCGTAGGAAAGAATGGATTGCCGTCATAACATAACAAAACTGAACAACCAGCTGAGACGAAATAAGGCTTTGCCCCTCTCAAATGGACACGGATAGGATAGAGCACCTGGACGGGTCACAAAGCTCAACGCGGCTTCCCGCGGCCAAGCGGCAGTAGCATTACAGAAGGCGAAACAGAAATTGTTGCAGAAGACGCTGCCGTCGATGTACGTCATCGACAAATGCAGCACATTTTATACAATGTCCCTCGAAACAGAGGAGAGTGCACAGATACAGCAGGAGCAAACGTCAAATGGGGGATGCTAAAATAATGGTTAGCATTCATAGCACGACACTAACCTTTCTATGAAACGAGTTGTCTGCAATCAAGCAGAGCGCCAGAAAGACGCACGAAGAAATAGAGAACGTTTAAAGCACAGCACAACCAGCGTATGACCAAAACCGTAATATAAATGTCAAATACGAAAACAGGAGAGTTATGGAGGAGTATGTAAAGATAAGAAATTTTATTTGAGTTCGACATTTCCCCGGCTAGCCGAAGCAAAAACCGGCAATTTGATGGCGCGAGATCGTGTTGTAGAACATAGAACACCCCACATATATAGTGTTGGAAGGTTGGTAAAGCCAACTGAACATAGGTCGGTGCGCTGTTTGAAATGAGTATTTCCTTCTGGTGATGTATGAAAAGTTCAACATACAAAAGTTGAAAAAAGTCGGCAGTAGAAGTACCATTGAGTACCCCGCCCGCGTTTCATACGTATCCCCCACGGAAAAATTTGCCTATCGCCAGTCTACATCTGCTCTTATACCAAACCTTATCAGAGTTCGTTGCGGAAAGAAAGAGAGCTGTGAAAAGGTTTCCTTTCTTGCATCATACAGATATTTATTACCTGATGTACCTATAGGTCACAGCATTATAGTAGGTGTAGAGGACACCCCGTAGACGTTTGTCGTCACGCGTGGTAAGCCGTTTCACAATATTTTGTGAAATCTTCCAACAACTGTGGTTTCATCTCAATTCAGATGCCGACTAAGAAAAATTCATTTGCAGATCCGCATATGAGCTAGTTTGTTGCGTTACCAGCACGGCTAGGGAATTAAAAATGTTTGCCTATAGATCACATGAGCTATGTAAAACATATCTCGAACACAGAGATCAACCTTACCTCCTCTACTCTCTTTCCTCAAGGCTACACCATGTTGGCCTTTTGCAAACATACGAGCTAGAAATAAGAA